TCATAATTAATTTCTCTCCAAACCACACTCACTCCACTGTAGGGCACTGCCAGCATTTATCCACTCCGTGTTGTTTTTTAAAATGTGAATGGGATGCTCCTTGTTACCGTCACTGCAGCAAATCCAGTATTGAGCTTTCCCCTTTTGCCACCATCACACAAAACAATTGTTGTCTCACTTCTGAATTGAATTAGAAGGATAAACTCAATATCATGGTGAGATTGTAACGTGGGTTTGGATTGCAGAAACTGAACCAGTCAAACTGTGGGAAAAAAAATCTGGACAAAAACCCCTCTTAAAATATAATTTAGGTATTTAAAACTTTACCCATGTCAGTCCAGGAAAATCACTGGAGTGTGATCCTCCTTCCTTAAGGGATTTTTTATTTTAAACAAAATTTTACATATATAAAACCCCTAGAAAATAATAATTAAACTACCCCATTCTCATTCATTAAGAAACAGTATTTTACACATTATTCTGAGTGACCATAACCACATTCTATTTGTGAAAGTTTTTTTACTTCTAGCAACATTTTAAAAATAAGTAAAAAACCCTGTGAAAGCTGAGAGCACTTAACACACATAACAAGCATTCATGAAGTTCTCTAAGCATTATCGTGTTATAAGTAGATTAATCATGACTTTTAGATTTCAGCAACCAATGTTTACTAACTTTTGGTGACTGCTGATCTAAAAGCATGGAGTGTCAATGTGACCTTGTTCAAGGAAACACTATGCTCTACAACATACTGCACACAACACGTTATATCTGAAAGATGTATGCATAATTCCTGTTTCAAAAAGCCTGAGGGACACGTTCAATAGCCCTATATCTAAGTTAAACATTTCACTAAGTGTTTTATATGGCACAGACTTTAATAGTTGGGGTACCATTTCAAGTGTTTATTAGAGTCTGTTGACTCTGAAAACAAATCCAAAGGAAGTTTTCAAGTGATAAAATAAATTACATTTTTAAATACAATCTTGTCCTTAACTTCCAAAGTGACCACCTGAACTCCCAGAAGGACTTCACCACAGATTCAATAACCACTATCCCATCAACCCCACCAAAAGTGAGGTTACATAGATACTATACACTGCTAGGTAATTCCTTTACTCCATCATTTCTAAAAGCATGGGTTTTGGTCAAATAACAGATTTCCAAACAAAGAGGCACCAAAGTTGGCCCACACAAGAATCAGGAAGCCAGTTAGGACAGAAGTTCCGAAACATTTAATCACTTTGTGTCCCACCAAAATCTACAGACCAGCACAGGTTAGCACTGACTTACAATTTACAAGATCCCATTGAATACAAAGAGTGAGTAAAAACAGTTCTGCTTGTTCTTTGGATTTTAGTAGTCTGCTGGAGAATTCAGCACAACTATAGGTGAGAACATCCTAGTCAAAAGTACAAATTTTAAACTGACAATTTCCATGTCACACATAATTCTTCCTGAAGAACAGGAAGCAGGAGGCAGCAGAAAACTCCTGATCTTCAGGGCTTCTGCTACAGAATACACATCACCAGACTCCGTTATCTGGAAGCAAAGTTGTTTCTCTTCCATATCCTGCACATTTTAGCACATGACTTAGTACTGACAGTTTACATTTTCTCCTCTTACTGTACAAAACCTCAAAAACACGTCTCAAACAAAATACACTTCTGTGTAAAAAGGTATTACAAGTTTTATTTGTATTCATAAGTTGCTCTGTTTTAGATAAAGCTCTTTTTCAACTCCTTTCAGTCTAAATAGTTATAAGCTTCAAAATTTGTCCCAAGCATTTTGTGTAACAAGCTCACTCTCCAACATAAACCACCACTAAAAAATTCTCACTGCTTTTTCAAAAAATCTTTGACTCAGGAGTTTTATATTTTGGCAAGACAGTTCAAAGCATTTACTATTCAGGCAGTAAGAGACAAGTCTCTCAATGCTGCTACAGTGTCTGTTTGCCTGCCTTAGAGTTTTCACATTTTAGTGTTATTTTTTAACTTGGATCCTTCAGTATACTGCTGCTATGCAAGAAAGAAAGGTTTACTTCCAAGGGAGGTAAGTTAAGTTACTTAGAAAAAGTCCTCACACTAGAAGTCCTCCATCTATAACAGTTTCCTCTCGCATTCCTGTGCCTTTCCCCAGTACCAGTACAGTCTTTTTAACAGTCCCAGTAAAAGCAGATAAATACATGTATTTAATATTGTCAGCTGTTCATGTAAAGTTTCCATTGAGGCAAGATATGTTATTTTGGAAGAGAACTCCAATAGAAAGGCTGCTTCATCTTCCCCTTACTTAGGCTCCATAAAACCTTTCAAATCTACTATTACAGCAAATACTGTTGAGCTAAACCAAGGAATCCCAAATTAATAATCTTGAGGTTTTCCATTTCCCTGGATTAGACAAAATCTACATATGCATTCAGTATTTTCCTAAACACTTTTTTTGCCATCTGCCTATCACTGGGCAAACAGATTGATCTATTTGTTGTATGAACTACTGCAGAAAAAAAAAACCCCAAAAAACCAAAAAGCAAACTGAGCAGTGAGAGAGCTGTCTGTGGGACTTCCCACAAAGAGGTAAGCATTCCCATGAGCTGAGCCAGAAGGCCTGGAAAGGAAGCAACCTTCTGCTCCAAGCACAGGAATGTAATTTCCTACGGTTTTATGAAGCACAACGTTTTGTGATATGTATCTTGCAGCATGTAAACACACATTCATTATCTAGTTCAGATGATTTAGTTTCAAGTATGTGAGTATGAAAGTAAGAATGGTTGTTTGGGCTGCTGGAAATCTGTATGCTCTGGTGACTGTTTTCACTGCATCATTATAGCATCTGTTTGACAAAGCCCTTTGGGAAACCGTTGCTGTTTACAATTTAGCAGACTATCAAGATTGCTCTGTAGGCTCATAGGTGAAATTAATGCACAAGAATAGCTTGTTTTGAAAGCTTTCTTGAATCGCACAGTAGTGGGGAAGAGAATTGCCTAGATTGACACTTCTCCAGTTCATATCTGTGCTATAAACCTCATCCCCTGGGATGACATTCTGCTAGCTGAAAAGAGACTGAATACACAGGGTAAACAAGAAAATACAGGATTATTCTTGTTGAACTACTCTCATCATGTCACTCTGAAGTCATGTAACAATGCCTCTCCACACTCAGATGTGGCAGGGGCACACAGGGCTGGGCATCTGGGCACACACACTGGCAGACGGAAGGTGGCAAGGCCATGAAAAAACAAAAATGCTGTGGACCACATGGATCCCATAGGTTGGATTTTGGTTCAAAAAACATATTGTAAATCTTAAAGTACAGCAGTTAGCACCAGTAAAAACATATGTTTGACAATCTACAGCATTAAAACATTCTGTACTTCAGATTTTTTTTGCATTTAGAAAGAACGTGTACCAGAAGGATTAGCAATTTCTAATCCTAGCATATGGACAATACACAACACTTCATTTTCTTGCTTCTTTGTTAGTTCCAGTTCATTTTACTGTATGCTCCGTTGCTGCATAAAGATAGAGAGTGCTGGAAGAATGCTGCTAATTAATTCTTTGGATATAAACAGACTGTTAGCTATGGGAATGGCAACCAGTTCTCCATGATCCTATTTATAAGGGTTCCGGTCCCCTTCTTGATTCTGAATTATCAGTATATAACCAGAAATGTACCAAGTCACTCTTCAATCTTAAATCAAAGGAAATGTGGACTAAAACACATCGTCCCATCTGGTTACCATTGTCTTTGTGTACCAAATCCAATAAGGAAAAGATGACAGACTAGATTATATTATATCCACTTCATTATTTCTAGAAGCATCCTTCTGAATACTGTGAAGAACTCGCATGTCTGTGAAAATGATTGCATGCAAATATGAGGCTATGATAACTACTGAGTATTAAACAATTAAGAAAACATGTAGTATTCAAGCAGTTTTAAGATCATCAAACTGGCCAAAACATAGACAAAACAACAAAACATCCAATTCCTGCATTCAATATTTGAGTTACATCCACCCATCAACAAAAACTGAGATGCAAACAAAAGCCTCATTAAAAATAAATTACTATCTGCCAACAGGAAAGTACAGCCATTAGGACTAAACTGATATTCTGAAAAACAAAATTAGCACTGAATGCAGCAATATGAAGCTAAACCTAACTAACAATATTCCACATCACCTGCAACAACTTACCAAGTTCACAGGTCTTGTTTAATACAAATATACTGTGTGTTTTATCAAATACCAGGCTGTTTGCTGAAAAATAACTCTGCCTAAATGTGGCAACTATCACCACAAATCTCACTGCTAATAAAAGTAGTGATCAGAAAAAAAAAAACCAACAAAAAACAAAAAGTATTTGCAACCTTTATCATTGCCCCTAGCTACAAAGAAACCGATATAAGGAGATCAAACCAGCACTGTAAAATGAAACACAGTCAGTATTTTCTCTAATAATTCATGTAATTGTTGAAAATTCTGTGAAGAGTTGCCCCAAAAAGAGAGACAACAGCAAATGTCCTTTAAAAACAAAACAACCCCAAACAAAACAGGGATCAAAACATAACCTGAAAGTGTAAACAGTTTAAACACAGAGTGGACACGCTCTACAACTACAACCAAACCAAACACCCAAAATCCCAAACAAAAAATAATCACCTTTCTTAATACTAAAATTATAACTGAACATTTGAAAAAGTGAGATTTCTAAAGTAGCTACTGTAAAATCAAACTGTCTCTGAGAACAAAAATACTCATTTTCACAACTACTTAGAAAAACATTTTTATTACAAAAGGTCAAATAGAATTACTTTGGGCTATCATAATGCAGAACTTTCACAGGTTCCATTCCAAGTAGTATACAGAGATAAAAACCTTTCACTTTACAATAGCAGATGCAAATGTAATTGTACATATGCGTGTATGGCAGGTATGCATGTGTCTCTATCTGTGACCCCATATGCGACCCCACTGCTACTAAAGCAGAAGAAAAACTCACCTTGTGACAAACCTCTGATTTAATTTCTTTGAGAGCACGTTCAGAGAACACACAGCCACAGTTTCTCAAGAAGCAAAACCTTCAAAGAAAAGACAAGACATACAATTGTTTTGAAGAATATACATCCAGTTCTGATCTAACATAGAAACAGCACTGCAATGGGTTGGCAGGACATGGCTAACTTTCTCTTTACGAATTCTTGCAGCTAATCAAGTTATCGGCACCTTTAAGTAGCCACTTATGAATTTGCATAATGTAAGAAGCAAATGAGAAATATTTGGTACATTAAAACAACACATTTTGTTATTTCATTCTCTGTGCAATTCAGCACAAGTTTACAACAATCTCTCAAGGGGATCTTAGCAAAACAGATGTTCCTGAGATGATTTTGTACATTTGCTCTAGGTTTACACAGGCTTCTCTGTAGTAGAACAGCTTGTGGCGATGGTTCCAAAGTTACACTATTTGAATGGTTCCACTTTCCACCAAGCTTACGGGTTTCACTTCCTCTGACTCAAGCTCTCCAGCAACGCTGTAACAAGTGACCCTACCCAGCATCCATTCTCCTGTGTGTCTCCTGTCCACATGGAAGATTCTTGAAAGACAGCGTGAAGTAATTATGAACATGTTCATGTGATCTACATTCCTTGAAAGGTACTGTTAACCTTTTACTCTCTATCAGCCTCAACTGAACTGAAAAACACTAAGGTGGTTCTGGTAAAAATGTGTTTACTTTTCAGGTTCTCTCTTTAATTCCACCTTAATATCTCTCAGCTAATCACTCTCTGGAGGAAGAAATACTTCATGACTATCAAGCTGTGAATCCAGCCTCTTCTCACTAATGAAGGTTAATGTGCACATTAAATTAAATTGCTCATTTACTCAAGTCAGGATGCAAAGAAATGTCCTTCCTGGCCCAATAAAAACCAGATGCTATTGTAGGATTAGAACAGACACACAATCCACCTCCATTCTGATCCTAACACAAAGAGAGGTAGAACTGCTTGATGTGACACAAAGGGAGGTCTCATCCAATCTCCTGTGGTTTAGCCCCCAAACAACTTTTAGTCACTTCTCTGCAGTCATAACCCTCTACTCTTTACATAAATTCATTTAGGAAAGGGTTAACTTTTCATCTTTCCTCTTGAACACGAAATGAAAGGACCTTTAGTAGTCTCTTAAGCTCCCTCCTCCTGGAAGGAGGACAAACACTCCCCCAGAAAGGCTTGATTAAGCACACGATTTGCAACATTACAGATGTGAGCATTTTTCCCTGCTCTATATTCAGTTTAGCATAGTACTTGCTTCGAAAAACAAAATCCAGAAACGTACTAACCTATGTCTTCCATTCATTTCCAATCCCACCACAGGGCAAATAAAGCGTGCAGACTGGATGTCATCATATTTGTCACCTTTTATACTCTCTTTATCACCACTCCAAGCCGGATTATCTGCAAGGTTCAGTTCTGTTACATTCTGAAAAACAGAAATGCAAGCCTTAAGCTGTTTACCAATGACTTTTGGGCCATGAAAACATTCCCTAAGATTTCTTTCATTGTGGTTTACTATTTTTAACATATATATAGTGTATATAGTGAGAACACCAGCAACTGAAGTTTTATAGCACATTTTAACTGTCATGGCACTCTTCAGTATTAGACTAGAGACAAACTGTTTACCTTAATGCTCCTGATATGTGATGCAGCTTCCATAGGAGTTTTATCAGGTGATTTGTCCAACAAAAATTCAATGACAGCATCTTTATTATACAACCTGTAAGAGAGTTTTTTTGGTATTTGAGTCTCATAATGTTCTTTTATTTTTTAATTACTACCTTTCAATATAGCGGTCTAGATGGAAATGTTCATACCTGCCCAGCTCACAGGCAACAATTGGCCGACATAATTTCTCTTGACTCAGAGCACAGTAGTGCCACCTTGCCACCAATTCCGCATTTTTATCAACCTCAAGGAAAAAAAAAAGTCACTCATTATTTTAAAATAACTTTTATATTTGCAAATTATTTAAACATAAAACCAAGCAATACTTGAAGCATTAATCAAATCCTCAGGTATCTTATCAAACCCACTTTCAGCATTCAAAGCTATTCTGTAAAATAACTTTAGCAAAACTTTTTAGCGAATTCATGACCAGTTTTGAGGGTCTACCTCTTATCTGTTGAGCACATTTCTGCATCCTGGGATTGGGGAGCCTATCTTTCTAACTCAGTTTTCTTTCTTTCTGCCACTTCCATCCCTCCTCCCTCACCACCATTTGGGTCAGCAACAAGTGCCACTACCTGTAAGCAACAAAGGTAATCACAAAGGCAAGTCTGGGAAGGTCTGGATGCTACCTGGCCCTCCAGTCTGAAAACTCGAGTTTTATAACAAATTATGCTACAAAAGAAAGACTGAGGTTCACAGCTACTTTGATTATCACCTGAAGCTGTATAGCCACAGTCAGGTTTAGGCAGAAAATAGATTTCATTTACTTATTCTCCATCAGCAAGTGTAATTTCCCTAGGTTTTCTGCCATTTGCTGTGATTTTTTTCCCCAATTTTATCCACCTTCCCACGAAAGGGATGCCACGGTTCATCCAATCCCCTCACACACCCTAAAAAGGTAAGCCCAAGCAACGTCCAGAACACAAGCAGACAGAACGCAGAAATGGCCACATCCAACATCCCCAACTGTCCCGTCTCACCACAACCAATCTACCAGAAGCGTTACCCACTGATACCGCACCCCAGATGAACGACGCCCCGAAGCCCCGGGCGTTTGGTATGATGCATGCCCACAAAACCCTTAATAGACGAAGGGATCCCCCCATCTCTGCCACAAGCGCCACCGACAGCCACCTTGAGGCGGCCCACGCAGACCGGTGCCGCGCAGAAGCGCCCTCCTCCGCGCCGCCAGCCC